CAGGTGTCACGGGGACGGAGCCAGACTCTTCCCAGTGGTGCCCAGCACCAGGACAAGGGGCCATGGGCACAAACTGAAGCAGAAGAGGTTCCAGTTGAACGTGAGGAAGAACTTGTTGACTGTGAGGGTGCCCGAGCCCTGGCCCAGGCTGCCCAGGGGGGCTGCGGAGTCTCCTTCTCTGGAGATCTTCAACCCCCGCCTGGCCGCTGTCCTGTGCCCCCTGCTCTGGGTGAGCCTGCTTGGGCAGGGGGGTGGCACTGGGTGAGCTCCCAAGGGCCCTGCCAGCCCTGGCCGTGCTGGGATTCTGTGATTCTTGGGATGGTGATTGAAATCAAATTTAAAAAGATGAACTCAGCCAGAGAGACTTAATTTAAGATGGTAATGAGCAGCCCTGCGTGGCATTGCGGTAGGCACCCTGTTCTTCCAGGGCTCCATCCCCCGGGGTGGCTATCAGGTGGTATCAGGTTTAGCTTGAGGCATCGCTGAGGGCTTGGCACATTCAAGCGGGCAGCCCATGAAAGGTGCGGCTTACCCGGCACCCCGCAGGGCAGTTCCGAAGGGTCGTAGTGCACCCCAACGGCGCGTTGCTGTCTGTGGTGGGATGCCCCCCTCTCTCCAGCCGCTGCCACCTCCTGACGGAGCAAGGCCGCAATCGCTACCCATGTGTAACGAGCATCTCCCTCAAATCCTGCTGGTGCATGTGTCTGCTTGAAAATTATTCTAATGACGCTCCTTGCCAAGGTCAATTTGTCCATGTTTTGGGATGTTGTAGAAGGCTGAACAGCTTTAGCCAGAGAGGGACCTTGGCGCTCTGCGGGTAGCAGTATCGGTGTTTTAAGAGGCCAGTGCTATGCAAAAAGTGGCCCTCGCCCTCCTCAGCCGCCTGTGTTTCTTACTAGGACACGTTTTCATTGCTGGTGTCCCTCTCTCTTCTCCTCAGATCAACCCTCTGTCATATGGCAGCGTGGTCCAGACGTACAGGCTGCCAACCTACAGCTGTTACCCTAGGGATTCCTGGACGTCTCTCTGCAAGAAGCTGTTCCTTGGAGAGCTAATCTACCCTTGGAAACACAAAGGAGAGAAGCAGGACTGAAAGCAGCAAAAGAGCTTGAAAGACTTGGTCAGAAAAACACACTGAATCCTAAGGCTTTGGGACCAAAGGCATCTCAGAGCCAGCAACCACTGGATCCCTTTAATGAGATTTTGGTAACGTGGGCAGGGCTGAATTTTTAAAGGCAAGTATTTTTAAACATTATTTTTCACCTTCCCTCTTGCCCTGCGCTGTGTAATATGCTAATGATTATTTTTGAAGCGAAAGGTTAAACCCACCAGTGCCTCGCGGAAGCAGCATTTAGCGTCATCGAGGGAGCAGCTCCCGAAAGGTTTGATGCTGTGTGTGTCCTTCCAGGGAAGCTGTATTGGAACAGCCCTTCGGCTGGTTCGGAGCCACAATGCTGAGGTGCGTTCTGCCAAAGGGCATTTTGGACCTTTTAGGCTTCAGCCTTCAAGCCAGTTGGTCAAAGCCAAGGTGCAGGATCAGCTTGCAGAGTCATACACTGAAAACTGTACAGCGGTGTTCCCTGGGCTCATAGGATATTTATTCTGTTCCTTTTGGGTGGGCTTGGACTCGACCCCACGGCAGCACCAGAGGAGGTGTTAAGCATGGAAGCAGCAGGGCTGGAGGCCCAGAAACGCAGATCGCTGTATGTTTGTGCCTATGTGGTCTCATCCACTTTTTTTTTCAAAAGCAAATGGTGTTTTGGGGAGAGCGGAGCCCTGAGCTGACACCAGCACTGAAGCGCAGAGCACTCAGACCCCAGACTGCGCGGGTTTACGTGGCCGCGAGCCGTAGCAGCCGAGAGCTCTGGGCTCTGCCAAGGCTTGGGGCTTCTTTGATTAGTGGCGATGTAAGGCAAACGCAGCTTTGTGGAGTCCAGCCCCGGCGGGCGCGTTTGCCGGAGGACTGCAGCAGCCCGGCTCCCTGCGCAGCTCGAGCAGCGTGTGCTGCGCCCCCTCACAGCGTCCGTACGTCCCCCCGTTTCTCAGGGCCCGGGTGAGAGCCTCCTCCTGTGGTGCCTCATCTCTTGCACTTTCTGATAGTCAAGGAGCTTTTCACGTTATCTCAGATAGGAGGCATTTAAAGCCACTTCTTTCCCTGAAACCGTAGACACGCTTCTCTTCGGAGAGTTCTCCTGCTTTGAACACTACCTCCACTGCGCAGCAGCGCTCGGTTTTTCGCTGTCCCAGTCTGGCTGTGCACTCATTTTGATGCGAGTCTTCTATTCCGTGTCTCGGGGAGAGTGCCTCCGCGCCCAAGAGTCCTTTGGGTACTTTGTTGTTGTGTTTGCATACGATCGTTGCCCCAAAGTACGCTTTCGCCAGGGCTGCTAGCTCCTCTTGCCCCAGCTGAAACAGCGGTGCGGTGTCACCGACCCCTGCTGCCGCTTCGCACGCCCACGGGGACGGCGTTAGCTGGCCGGTGAGAGGTGTGCTGGATCCTGCCCCGGTTCGAGGAACCACGGATGGAGGAGGAAGAGGAAGAGCCCTCTGGAAGGGCTGCCTGAATATTCCAGCGGGAGTAGGTGGAGGCAAGGCAAGGAGCCACAGCAAGGAGCCACGGCAAGGTGCCCTGGGCTTTGGTAGCCTTCCAGCAGCACCTCCACTGGGAGGGGAGGAGTTTCCTCCCCCAGCCCCATGTCTCATCCATGTGCTTGGAGCCATCACAGAGAGAACATAGGCTGCTTTGAGGCATCCCTCACCATATATATTTGGGTTGTCTGTAGCTGCTAAAAGCCTCTGGTGATGCAGCCACTGCCCCTTCAGTCATGGCTTGATCAGGAGAAAATGAAGCTCGGTGCTTGGTCCAGACATTCCTTAGCAGGCAGACACGGGAGCTGCCAAGTTCTTCCAGTTTTCTTACAGACACCGTGAAGACAGGCAGTATTACATGGGCACTGCTACCCAGAGAGGATGTCCTGTTACCTTCATCCAGGGAAGAAGGGAACATCTTTGAAGAAAGCCAGCATGGCAAAAGGCCCCCCACACCGTCTGCCACCGCAGGCTCCGGGTGGGACGTCCCTGGCTGCAGAAACCAGAGAGGTTCTTGTTCTTCTTTGGTGATCGGTGCTTAAAATTCTGGTACTCGTACTTCAAACTCATGTGTTCTCTTGGAATATCAGTGCCCCAGGATTTCTCTCCACTCCAGGTGTGAGTAACTCCAGGTTGCGATCCATTTAGTAGTTGAGTGGTCGGAATAATGTTTCTCACTTCAGCTGAAGGCAGAGTCACGGACGCCTATCCTTCCCTGGCACTCAGCAGAGCACATTTACACTTTGCCTCCCTCTCGTGCTTCCACTGGAGCTACTGAATGATGTTCCCCCTGCTTCCTCCCCTGCCTGCAGAGGTTGGGTTACTGACTGCTGTGAAAAACTTGATTATTTCTGGTCTTGTGAAAATCATGTTCCTAATATCCTGGCTTTTAAAATCTTCCTGTGAGACCAAAAGGCTCATGAGGGTCCTAATCGTGGCTGTCCTTTGGGATCCAAGTGACCTGAAAACCCCAGAGAC